CATGTCACCTAGAATGCCTATGTTCAAATAACACAGAGAGAGCAAGCTAACCCTTGGCACATCTGACATCTGCCTCTTTTGTCCAAGGCAGAGTTTTGGCAAGGCTTCTCAAGATCCTGCTGTAGAATTCAGAGGACTCACTCAGTCCATCTAGGGTTTAGCATGTGCTGCAGGCACAGGGTGACACCTGCTCAGACAATCGCAGAGGGGTTGGGGAGCAGAGCTGTAGGTTGGCCAAAGAAATTCTATCATTTAGTTATGGGCATTGGATGGGACTTGAATGAAAATACACTTTTTTTCTTATCAGAGAACATTTCAGAGCTCTTGTTTGCCAAAGCAAAGGAACTAAACGGTGCGTATCTTCGGGGTCCTCCACTTAGACATGACCTACCTCGTCAATGGTCAAGGTACGAAAGCAAAGAAATGAAAATGGACTGAGGGCAATATTCCCTGTGTTAGGGGAGGATTGTGGACTTGGGGGCTCTGAGAGCTGGTGACCCCAAACAGGTCATCTCTTTAACTTTCCTGGCAAATAGTTTTGTCTGTAAAATGAAGACGATCATCCATGCATTGGCAGCATTGTTTCTGTGTGAAGCAGGTGCCTAAATGAAGTAAGGACAAAATTCACTTGTTTTCAAGGTGGTGTGGTGTTGCACATAATCTGGGAGGTGGAGGCAGGAGACTAGACAGCAAGTCCAAAGCCAGCCTGGGCTACATGAGACTTTCTGAAACACAAAAATTTAGATAGACAGACAGACAGATGCAATGCAATACACGTGGTTTAAAAAGTAAATATGCTTGAGCAGTAGTTTGTAAGAGCCACAGGGCGAGTGATGAAGTTGCAACCCAGAACCCAGTGTGGGGCTAAGCCACCTTAACCTCTGTATGCCTTCTAGGAAGAAGGGTTGTTCTTCGATTATTTTCATTCAATGATATATAAGAAAAGAGATGGCATCCATTTCAAAGATTAAAAACGTGCAACCTTGTAAAAGCCATTTCAAAACTCTTCACGCTGCCATGGTTGACAAGGTAGGTGGGAAAGTCTGGCTTCGATGGGTAAGGACCCCTGTCTGGCATCAAGCTCAGAGTTTATCAGCTGCTGCAGGCGGTGCTGTTCATTGACCACAGGGTTCTACCCTTGTGAGTGCCCCAGAATAGCTGCTGCTACCTGAGAGCAGTCTGTCCTCAGGGACTCGTTATTGTCCCAGATAAACAGTGGAGCCTCTGCCAGCACGTAATGGCTGTATTTAACTCTGATAAGTGATGGGTGTCAGTGCTCGAGTGAGGGCATTTCTACTAGGGCCAGAATAATTGGGCATGGCTTGGCAGTGGGCATTTGTTGCCTACCATAGGGTTGATGCCATGAGTTTTAGACACCTGGGAACAAATATGACAGACAACAGGGTGCTTGCCTTATAAGTAAGCAAGACAGGACAGGCCTACTAGACTTTGATTATGCAAATTACAAAGTTATTTAAAAAACAAAGTAAGTGTAAAAATGTGGATACTGGTCTAGATTGAAGGACGCTTGCTTCTGGGCAAAGATGACATCTCACACCACAGAATGGCTAGCCTGGGACTGTTGGCTTTAAAAGGAGACCATTGTTTTCCAGATCCACACTTACTTTTGGGAGTGGTTGTCTGGAAATTTTCTAAAATGCAGTAGCATGCATCTTAAGTCGTAAATCAGAGTGGTGAAGGTGAGAATGACCGTGCTTTGAGAGTATTAGCATTAAAAGGATTCACCAGTGTCAAGACTCTGTTTTGCTCTTAACCGTATTATGTGGCAATTAAAATCACATTTTCAGTAATGTTTCCCCCATGAACTTGCCAGGTGGACAGGGTATCTCTCAACTAGTTTAGTGTGCAATTGTCATTCCATAAGAGGCTGTTTCACTATTCTGGGTAAAAGGGGAAAGCATGTCTGGAATTTGAAGACAGCTGGCCACCCATATGCCAAAGAGACCAAGCATGGTAGTTCTAGGATTTGTATATGGGAAATACACAGCATAAGACATGGACTGCTCTGTGTGTGTGTATGTGTGTGTGTGAGAGAGAGAGAGACAGAGACAGAGACAGAGACAGAGACAGAGAGACTGACTAACAGACTGACTCCAGGGAACATGGATGATATCCTGCCTTTAGACAAACCCATCATTCAGGGAAAAAAGAATGCAAATTGTAACGTATAAGTATGAGCACTTTCCCAGAATCCTTTGTATTCAGAGACACTCCAGAAAAAGGGCCAGTGAGAAGCGTGTGGAAGAACACACAGGCAGCTAGGATGGGCAAGCCAGACTGCCTCTCCTGGTCCTTGTAGTTTCCGCTCTGCGCAGATGATGATGTTTAGATACTGGGAACAGTTTTTCCATAGAAGTCCTCTGGGTGGCAAGGGTTCTTAGCTTTCTGACATGACCGCTTTCTGAGTCTCCAAGACTGTTTCTTCCTTGCTCTGGAAGCCTTCATGTGTTACCTACCAATGAAAACCAGGAAAGTGAAGTCCACACTTGCTCCCTTGTCACTAATACCAGGCTCATTGCCTGTGTCGCCAACAAGGGGGCTGCCTTGAACCAATGGGGAGGCTTACTTTAGTACCGTCCCTACCTCAACAGTTGCCAGCAGAAAGAGACTGCCACCCTCTGGCCTTGGGGGATGTCCCAGGTGCACAAGTGTGCCAAGAGATGAAGGAAGGGCACACATGGTCCCTTCGCACTCTCTTAAAATAAGCCCCATGGAAGTAGACTTGCAAAGCAGCAGGCCTGTGGCTGCAAAAAATAGAACACCATGCAGCTGCACCCTTTGGAACTTGGGGGGAAAACACATATTATTTACCAGACAATAATAGATACCAGAGAATAATAATGATTATTATAGTGTTTGGGATGGCAAATGCTGTACTTAAGGTTCCAGAATGGCTCTCATTATAAGCCCGATTTCACAGTCTCTTATGAAAGCCTAGACATTTTCTCCACACAGGCTGATGCTGGGCATATTTGGTCTTTGTCCAATGGTGATTTGAATACAAGGACACTTATTTGAGAGATATCCCCCCACACACACACTTTTGGTTGTGATTGCATTAAAGAAAAATGCTATAGACACCATAGAACAAACAGTTGCAACAATTAAAAATGGTGGTGTCTCCCAGTCACTGGAAGAAAATGTTAAAGCTCTTTTTCTTTTTTTTCCCCCTTAAAAGAAAGAATTTGGACCTCCTGCCCGTCCCCTCCCCCCAAGATGTGGTCACTCTTGGTCCCAGGCCCAGAGGTGGGGACATTTCCCTGCCTCTTCAGCAGTCTCCGGGATGTGCTTGACAGAGCAAAAGATGTGACCCCAGAAGAAGCAGCCCTGTCTTCTAATCCACTTTTCGTTGCTCACCAATTCTGGAACCTCCTATGGCTTCTGATGTGCCCCCTCCCTTTCTTGATGGTTTTGGGGGTTCTCATCCTCCAGACAGGAGGAGGGCTGGGGGATGTGAACTCTGTATTCCTAGATACACGTCCCCATATCCGAACCTGCCTGTGCCAAATGAGAAGGCTTCCATGGCCTTGTCATTCCACCCCTGCTGAATGTCTGTGCCCTTTTCATTTTCTCTTTGGTTATTTAATGTACATATTAAATGCACATGGATCCGGTGATGTTTTGTGATCCGGGGAACTCAGGCATTTCCTACCGTGCACACTGAGAAAGTCAAACCTTGGTTTTGGCTGATGATTATTAACATTAACTCCAGGTTGGACAGCAGGGTTCAAAGCTTGGGCCTCTGTGGAGCCTTCCCAGCAGGCAGCTGACCTTCCCGCTCTCATGCTAAAATCCTGGTTCACACACCCCGAGCTGGGGTTCTCTTCGACTACAGCATTGTATCAGCTCTGTGAAATTATTTCTTCATTATTCTGAGAATAATTTCAAAGGTTGTAAAGATGTTTGAATCTTGTGTTATCACTTCACATTTGCCAAATTTTGCCCTTTCGTGTTTCTGACAACCACGCTTATTGGCAGAGGGCCTCTTTGGGGACATAAGTAGAAGACAGCTTGACTCATTCATTTGACAAAACATGTGGAACACCAGTGACTAGCCGCCCAGCTGACGTAGAGGAGGCAGACAGCCCAGGCATAGCCCTAAGGGATGTCACAGTTAGCAGGGCAGGCTTCTAATTGGCTGCTGCCTGGGAATGCCTGGCTCTTCAAGACACTGTGCTTCAGATGAAGGGCTTGGTGGCAAACAGTAGAAACCCATGAGGATGTAGAGGCCTCAAGCATGTGGTGAATGGAGGGATGGTGCTCCCGATGGTGCTCCCCAGGAACTAGCCTGAAAGTTTCCTTTGGACCCTCTGGCCACGCTCACAAGGCATAGTTGGTTTGTTGTCTGTGCATTGTGTACTCCTGTGTTGCTTGGATGTCAAGAGCTCTCGGTGGCTTGCCTTTGACAGGCAAGACCCACAGATGGGGGCAGCTGTTTCTTCCAGCTTAGTCACCTCCATTGGAAATTCTGAAGAGAGGGGTGTGTGCATGTGTGTGTGTGTTCTCTACCAGTATGATTTATTTACTAATAGTGACTCTGAGACCTCAGTCCTCAAACACCAGAGTTGATATGTGAGTGACAGCAATGACCTTGCCTGACTTTGGAGTGATCCTGGCGACTCAAAAGACCTCCTGCTGGTTAATCATGTGGTCCTGTGGAGGCTGGATGCAAAGGATGCTGTGGTCCTGGGGGAGGGCGTGGCCCATCATGCTCATTACGGGTTTTCCAAAAAGGGCTCAAGTTTCAGTTGCTCACAGGGCTGGCAGGGCTGATCCTGAGCAGACTGAATGAAGCTCTCTGGAATCGTGCTGCCGAGGCTATAGCTCTGGAGCACAGCTGAGGGAGAACTGATGCATGCTGGGAGCTGAACTGGTTCTCCCTCTGGACTGGTTCTCTACAGCTAGGCGGGGTGGGAGGAGGTGGGCGGGTAGAGACTTGGTCCAATGCATTCTCATGGCCCTTTCTCGTCTCTTCCCAGGAACACTCGCTCCCAGGGTACCTTGCATGGAGAGAGGGCGTGGAACAAATCATTTCATACCATCCAATGACACCAGCTGGTCAGCTCACCACCCCCACTCTGGCTAAGATTCAAGTAAATAACACAGCTTCCTGACATTAAACATCTTGGAGGAAGCAGCCCTCCCTGGTGGCCTCTAGGCCAGAGAAGCCAGCACGTCTAGGACCCACCAAGCTTGGGCCCAGCATTCCTGCTCCCCCATCTCCGCTTCTCCCCAGAGGAACTTAGGGATTTCGCTGGTAAAAAAAAAAAAAAAAAACAAATACCACCAACACGCCACAAGGACCAATGTAGGTATTCATGCTCCTCACCCCATCTTCAAGGTTCTACGGCTGAGGCTGGAAGACGTTAGAGATTGGAAAACAAGAATCTTTTTAAATCTTTTTAAGAACTGCTGTGGTTTGCTGCTACGATAAGAATTGTGATTTGCTTTTATGGTTTAGAAACAGAACTGTTCACGTTTTGGTGAGGAGAAGGGATGGTCCTGAAGTCCCCAAGCTTCAGACTCATCTCTGCCCCGGCCCACGATGCACTTTTAAATGAAGAGGTAGAATATTTTATTGGCTAATATACTTTTCATGTTATTTTTTACAAAGGCCACCTTTATCCTTTTTGATGCCATATTTTCAGTGTTACACTTTTATGGCTTTTAATTTTCGATCTGCCAGATGTAAGAAGCAGCATGGATAGTTTATACTGTGGTTTTACAGAGACCGAATGCCAAGAGAACTGGTAAATGTTTATTCTTCTCAGCTTTCTCTTGAAATGCCCCTAAATAGCGCCCCATTTGGGAACAGAGCAAGAGTGTCGAACTGAAGACCAAAATGCCCTCAAGGTGTAACATAATCCGAGGGGGGGATATTTGCTGGGCGTCAGGAAAGACTCGGGTGAAATTTCAACCCTGATGGTTTTCGGAGATCCAGGAAGTCAGTGAGACAATCTCTCTATACGCAGAGTCCTTTCATGATAATTAGAATGGCATGGACGAACCAATGGAAACAAGAGGGAAAGTGAGAAAGATCACCCGGGATTCTGTTTCACTGTTTGCTTTCTCCTGTCATGCTTAAGAGAAATGTGCAATTCGATCCTCAGTCAGTGGGTGGAGGGTAACAGGGTAGATTTACTTGTGTGCACTTGTACAGTTGTAGCTGCGAGTCCAGAAGTCCTCTAGAACATGTGGACTGGCACCGAGTCCGTGAGACAGTTGTGGAGTGCCCCAGTCTGATGAGTAAGAAAAAAAGAAAAGAAAAGAAAAAAATTTAAAAAAAGAAGAAAACCTTAAAAAAAAAATCAAATCACCATCACCTTGTGATTCAGTGTATCTGTTTACTAACTCAATTAAAAGCAATTGTTCCCTCCGGAGGGGTCCAGGTGCCCCACCCCTCCAGGCCGTGGCGCCTCAGCAGGAGGGTGGCAGGGCTGGTGTCACCACGCTTGCTTGCAGCACTGGGGTCATGGATGCGTGTACATACTGTATTTCTACATTCTCCTTTGTACAGTCGAGTCAGGCTACTGTCTTACAGGTGCTCCTTATTTATTAGAGCCGCGAGAGCTTAGGGGACACACCTGGCGAGCAAGCTCGCTTTTTAAACATGAAATTTGGGGGCAGGGGAAGGGAGGCGGGAGGGAGGGAATGCTCACAAGCCCAGGGGGAGATTTATAAAAGGGAATGGAACAACAAATTAAACCAGCCAACAGCCCAACACCAAACCCACCCGTGAGGGAGCTGCAGCCCCTCCGGGTGTTCCCTTTCTTGCGGTGTCAGATTCATCAGACAAAATAAATCTCTGAGAAACAACGGCACACTTACATGTGCTTATTTGGCTTTTCTCGTTATTATGATTATTGTTGCTATTTGCTTTGTCATAGAAAGTACTCATTCTTGCCCCCTCAGCTCCTGGAAACAGCTTTTTAAGTAAGAAGTTTGGGACCCTATGGCCCTGCCTAAGTCACCGTGGATCGTGCGTCTCTGTGGCCCATAGCCCACGCTGCCGTTTCAGGGCCAGCTCTGTGAGCATTGTGGACAGCATGGTGTGCACAGTGAGCCTCGGGGCCTGCAAACACAGCTGTCCACGTGCCTAAGGCCTGGCCTCAGCTCTGAGACTTCTGAGGTTCAAGCTGTGGCATGAGATAGACAGGAACCCTTACCTTGGGTTCCACTCACTCTGCACCCCATCGCCCCCACTTGACCCCGCCTCACCCTTCTTGCTCCATGGGTTCATGCAGATGGGGCTTTGGGTGCTGTCTTGCACAGATGGAATGTGTCCATCTGAAAACAGCAGAATTAAACATCGGGAGATTCCTAAGGTAAAACACGCATCAATTGTGGTTCTAATCGGTGTAAATTGAATCCAGTCCTCAGATTCTCTGTGTGAAAACAGTGAAACTTCAAACTTAGAAAAGCAAATGGGTATCCATGATCACACAGCTAGTTGATTGAATGTGTCAAAAGCAAACGTTCATTAAAATATTGAACATTGTCGACTGAGCCTCAAGTGGCCAGCTCATTCTCTTCTGGAGCTTGGAAGGCTCTTGTAGGTTTCCAGTTGAAGGTTCCATTTATGAAAGTGACTCCATGTGAACTCCACAGTGGCAGGCCTACTGTGGATAAGGACGTGTCAAGACCCAGGGCACTTTGTGTGGCTGTCTGGGTCAAGCCCCTGATAGCATTATTCATCTAGACTTGGCCATAGAGACAGGCATCCAGGATATTGATCTTGCTTTGTCTGTCATCCAAGATTGTTGAGCAAACATTTTGACCCTCCTGGAAACAAAAGGTACCATTGTTCCCACAGGAAGAGTCTGTGGCATCTCATTAGCCACTGGTGCCCTTTCCCTCCTTCCTCCCTCCTGATACTGGTGTTCTCTGAATGTGTCCCCCTCTCAAGCTGTCACGAGCGCATACTAAGAGAACCAGAACAATTCTGGAAGCAAGAAGCAGTGTGTGTTAAATGTGTGAACCGACTCCTTACTTCCTCTTCGGAGCAGCCAGGGAGGAAAAGCCTGGCTTTGTTTTCCTTTGTCGTGGAAGAAGGAACAAACACTCAGTGGGTTTAGTTACCATCCAAGGTCACACAACTGGAAAATTGCAAACCTCGCTAGACCTGCATCTGACCTGGGGGAAGTTGCTGACATCCTCAGGAAGAGTCACTTTGACATCCTTAAATTTGCAGCAGTGAACAGTGGTAAGCAGTGGCACACTCCTTTAATCCCAGCAGAGGCAGGCAGATCTCTGTGAGATCTGGACTACATAGTGAGTTCAGGGACAGCCAGGACTATGTAGAGAGACACTGTCATAAAAAAGAAAAAAAATACAGTAGTGATTCAGTAGAATCTGGAAGTGGCATTTATTTTAGACCATTGGTGATCAACCTGTGAGCTGCGACCTCTTTGTGGGTCTAATGACACTTTCGCAGGGGTCACCTAAGACCATCAGAAAACACAGATAATTACAATATGATTTATAACATCACTACCATCATCGTCAACAGCATCCCCATCACTATCGTCATCACTACCATCATCACCATCACTAACACTCCACTACCATATTCACTATCATCATCATCCCTACTTCACAGATAAAGAAACAGGCATGTAGATGAAGGGACTTCCTGACCATGCCACAAACCAGGAGGGGCTCCAGGACTGAGCAACTTTCATCAGCCTGAGGCACTTGGAAACTGTAATCAAAGAGTTCAGATAGTCTCCACAGTGCCTATACAGTGAGCATATACTATAAAGATGTCAAAGGACCTTGCATTGTGTCCAGGGAGGAAAACAAAACAAAACACCATAGCTACTTTTCCTGATGCCTAATTCCAAACACAACCGTATACATGGCTGTCCCAGGTAATGTCCGTGAACATCAGGGTGTTTGCATTAGGGCTCCACCAGAAACTCAGAGAAAGGAATGAGAATGAGCGCTACTTTGTTACCTACATTACATTGTCTGGGACAGGAGGAGGGGGCTCCCTGGGAACTGAAACTCTTTCAATTTTTCACTGATTCTGACTTTGTTTGTTTGTTTGTTTTTGAACTTCAAACTAGGGTTTCTTCCATGGTACTTAACTATTGGTTGAAAGATTGTTAAAGAAAAGCCAGGAGGGCAACATCAAACTGGAGCTATGCACTGGTTAACCAGACAACCCGAGGGACTGGACAGGTAGACAAATGTTAAGACTTCTGTATGCCAGACACTACCACAGTCACTGGCACCAGCTCGGGCGATTCTCAGTGTGAGCCTCATTTCTGGGTGAGGAGAATACAGCCCAGGCAGGGTTAGAGACACCTAGGGTCTGAGCTCTGGGCCCCACATGTAGTGCTGTCTTGAAGGTTGTAGAAATACCCCACAGTCCCAGTTCAGATCATCACTCAGTTTTCTCTGAACGCCAGTGGGGTCTGTATCTGCAGATGGCACTTCAGTCTGAGCCAATCCTATGACAATGGATGAGGCTGTCCTCTCTGCCTTTTCACACACAGATCTGGATCTCACTAACAGGCAATGAAGTCTCCTAGAATCCGTTCAATTGCAATGAACATAGATCCAAACTTGCTAAATGCTTCATCATTGTTAGACCTTCGAGGTAGGTACCATCATTGTCATTTCACAGGCAAGGAAACCGAGCACACAGAAACTTGCTGCAGAACCTAGAACCAACACCTGGGCCTACCCAGCATGCTCGCTCTGGGCCATCCTTCTGTGGAAGGGAGAATTCCTGCATACATGAGCGTTTGTGTGACCAAGTCATTTTACAGCAGGCGCTTTCACGAATGCCATCTCATTTCTGAGAATGACTGAAGTGTCAACTCTGGAAGCTGACACAGAGGATGCAAAAGTAGTTCCTTATATCCCGAGTCATGGAAAAGGTTAAGTACCTCCACCTAAACACCCGAGGAGTCTCCAGTACATTCTTTGCAGACATCACCTGCTTCCTAAGCCAATAATTAAGAATGGTCCTGAGGACTCTCCAGTAGCTCACTGCTGTAGTGATTTCCCCTTGCTGCTTTCCTGCAGCCAGCCTGGGAGTGCCAAGTGAGTGTCTGATGTTTGGTATGCTTGGTAGGCAGGTCCCAGCCCCTCTGCCTGCCACCCACAG